CATCTTCCCTTAACCTGACACATTCCAGCACATCCTCCAACATCCCCCCAACACACCCTCCCCGTTCCCGCACCTCCAGCACACTGCCTTATGGAGTCCTCCTGGAGTCGACACAACCTCACTCCTGGCAACTAGACCTCAGCAGCCATGGCGGTGGGATTTTCTCCCAGAATTTTTATTCTTTTCTGGTGAAATTTTCAGCCCAGTCGGGGGTCAGGCTTCTTTGGTGACGTGATCGGTGAGGCTGTTTCTGGCAGCGGCCCGCAGGCCTACATACATTTCCATCACAACCCCCACATGATCTGGCACCGCACGTGTTTAATTCCCTCGTGAACAAAATTGAACTTTTCTGACTGCCACGCCCACCTCGGTGACGTAGATATGCCACGCCTACCTCGGTGACGTAGATATGCCACGCCCACACGGGGACGTCTGGGTACGTATAATTCTTAGTGGTGGGTGGACCGTGGCGTGCCGCCGCCCATTCATCCACACTTCCTGCTTCCCCTCGGCCCGCCCTCTGCCGCGGCCCACAGCGCTGTATGCCGCCCACACACGCCCCCTCCTTCCGTCTAGGGCCGCCCTCACACGCCCCTAGTGTCTCTCTCGCTCCCTCAGTACACAAGTGTGGATAAGTATACCTCCTCTCCAGTGCCCACTTGCTTCCTCTTTTCCTTTCCTTTTTCTTCTTAAGTCCTCACTGGTACTGTCGACACTCTACCCAGCAGATATATATATATATATATATATATATATATATATATATATATATATATATATATATATATATATATATATATATATATATATATATATATATATATATATACTCAGAGGCAGAGTGATTTTCGTTATTTTCAAATTGGTTTATTTGAATTAATATTATATTCAGAACATGGCTTACTGACGTCAGGTTAGGTTTGATCACATTTTTATGTTAAATTTAACTCCGAAAAATGTTAATGATCATATAATATAATGGAAAGCTTAAATCATGCCATGAAACATTTTTTGAAAATGCTTGAATGGTCCCCAAGCACAGATATCTCTCACTCTATGACACCTCAGAGGATTCGAACCCCGGCAGCAAGGAGATCGAATCAAGGAAGACAGGAAGTCTCCGCAGCAACAGTACTGGTACCTATATGACCCTGAGGCGGGTGATAGAGCTATATCTCATTCCCTCCCAAGTCACTGATAGGTTAGCACTGACAGGTAAGTACGTGCGTGCGGTTTATGTACTCGCGGTATGTATACTTGCGTGCGCGGTGTATGTGTGTGTGTGTGTACTCACCTAGTTGTACTCACCTAGTTGTGTTTGCGGGGGTTGAGCTCTGGCTCTTTGGTCCCGCCTCTTAACCGTCAATCAACAGGTGTACAGATTCCTGAGCCTATCGGGCTCTGTCATATCTACACTTGAAACTGTGTATGGAGTGAGCCTCCACCACATCACCCCCTAATGCATTCCATAAGTGTGTGTGTGTGTGTGTGTGTGTGTGTGTGTGTGTGTGTGTGTGTGTGTGTGTGTGTGTGTGTGTGTGTGTGTGTGTGTGTGTGTGTGTACTGGCGGTCGCAGTGTTTGAGTCTGCGCTTGTGCATGCGTGTCTCCCTAACGTCCATAGTTTGCGTGGGGAGGAGCACGGTACTGGGAATTGGTGTGTGGGGGCGACCCACACTGGTGCCCCCTCTTCCTTGTAGTGATGTGGGCACCCCACCCATGTCAGGCAAGGTCACCCAACCCACCAGCTGGTCACCTAACCCACCAGCTGGTCACCCAAGCCACCAGCTGGTCACCCAAGCCACCAGCTGGTCACCCAAGCCACCAGCTGGTCACCCAAGCCACCAGCTGGTCACCCAACCCACCAGTTGGTCACCCAACCCACCAGCTGGTCACCCAGCCCACCAGCTGGTCACTCAACCCACCAGCTGGCCACCCAACTCACCAGCTCCCCACCCAACCCACCAACTGGCCACCCAACCCACCAACTGGCCACTCAACCCCACCAGCTGGTCACCCAACCCACCAACTGGCCACCCAACCCACCAGCTGGTCACCCAACCCATCAGCTCCCCACCCAACCCACCAACTGGCCACCCAACCCACCAACTGGCCGCCCCACCCATCAACTAGCCACCCCACCCACCAGCTGGTCACCCAACCCATCAACTAGCCACCCCACCCACCAACTGGTCACCCAACCCATCAACTAGCCACCCCACCCACCAACTGGTCACCCAACCCATCAACTAGCCACCCCACCCACCTACTTTCCGCCTGTTGCACATAGTGGCTGACGGACGGCGCTGAACCAGCCCGCCCTTGCCACCTGCAGGTGTAAACAGACACTTTGTGCACCACTCAAAGATGTCACATATGTTGAGAAGGCCGGGGGAGGGGGGTCCCACTAGAATCATTTTTAGGTCCCACCCTCTTACTAATATATGCAAACAACCCAGAAGAATTAAGACTCCTTTTTGTAGTCTTGAGAGATGACGCCAAGTTGGCGAGGAGAGTCAGTAGGGTGAGGGAGGTCCCCCCTAAGGACACTCAATCCCCTACACACGCAAGGTCGTGAATTTTTGGAGGAGAAGGAACAACAAGGGTGAAGGAGTAATTATATTATGAACTGAAGAAACTTCCAGCCCGTCGGTGCTGGAAACTTTGATGCGAAATTATCAAAACCATACAAGGAAGGTCTTTGGGGGTTGGATGTTTGTAAGGTGTCGGTCAAGTTTTAGTAAGGAGGAGCCAAGACAGTTGTAAGGTTGTAAGATATTGTTATGGGCAACGTCACATCATCAGAAGGGCTCAGCTTCGTGGAAGGTCAGGTGGCACAGATGAGGCATAGGGCTGGGAGGAAGCACTTCTGTGTAAGGCCTGTGAGTAAGTGGAATGAATTAGAAGGAGGGGAAATACTCGAGGAAATACACCCGTTGTTTTAAGGCAGATGTTATAAGTGCCAAAGAGGTCGAGAGTCATTGCATTAGTCGACAGACACGTTGGTAAGGCGGGGATTGGAGATCAGGCCTGAACACGCAAACATACACGCGCACGCACGAACTCACGCAAACACACGCAAACACAAGCACTGATACATAGTGTAATCCGTATTTAACAAGACTCTCCAGTGTCGTGAGGCTACACATGGCTTCCGTCCTTGCGTGCTGCAGCAGCAGAAAGGAAAACGTCCATTTTCTCAGATGTTTGGGTTTTTCAGATGTGTGGTGGGTTTTTCAGATGTGTGGGTTTTTCAGATGTGTGGGTTTTTTCAGATATGTGGGTTTTCAGATGTGTGGGTTTTTCAGATGTGTGGGTTTTTCAGATGTGTGGGTTTTCCAGATGTGTGGGTTTTTCAGATGTGTGAGTTTTTCAGATGGGTGAGTTTTTCAGATGTGTGGGTTTTTCAGATGTGTGAGTTTTTCAGATGGGTGGGTTTTTCAGATGTGTGGGTTTTTCAGATGTGTGGGTTTTTCAGATGGGTGGGTTTTTCAGATGGGTGAGTTTTTCAGATGTGTGGGTTTTTCAGATGTGTGAGTTTTTCAGATGGGTGGGTTTTTCAGATGTGTGGGTTTTTCAGATGTGTGGTGGGTTTTTCAGATGTGTGAGTTTTTCAGATGTGTGAGTTTTTCAGATGGGTGGGTTTTTCAGATGTGTGGTGGGTTTTTCAGATGTGTGGGTTTTTCAGATGTGTGGGTTTTTCAGATGTGTGGGGTTTTCAGATGTGTGAGTTTTCAGATGTGTGAGTTTTTCAGATGTGTGAGTTTTCAGATGTGTGGGTTTTTCAGATGGGTGGGTTTTTCAGATGGGTGGGTTTTTCAGATGTGTGGGTTTTTCAGATGTGTGGTGGGTTTTTCAGATGTGTGAGTTTTTCAGATGTGTGGGTTTTTCAGATGGGTGGGTTTTTCAGATGTGTGGGTTTTTCAGATGTGTGAGTTTTTCAGATGTGTGGGTTTTTCAGATGTGTGGTGGGTTTTTCAGATGTGTGAGTTTTTCAGATGTGTGGGTTTTTCAGATGTGTGGGTTTTTCAGATGTGTGGTGGGTTTTTCAGATGTGTGAGTTTTTCAGATGTGTGAGTTTTTCAGATGTGTGGGTTTTTCAGATGTGTGGTGGGTTTTTCAGATGTGTGGGTTTTTCAGATGGGTGGGTTTTTCAGATGTGTGGGTTTTTCAGATGTGTGGTGGGTTTTTCAGATGTGTGGGGTTTTCAGATGTGTGAGTTTTCAGATGTGTGAGTTTTTCAGATGTGTGAGTTTTTCAGATGTGTGGGTTTTTCAGATGTGTGGGGTTTTCAGATGTGTGAGTTTTCAGATGTGTGAGTTTTTCAGATGTGTGAGTTTTTCAGATGTGTGAGTTTTCAGATGTGTGGGTTTTTCAGATGGGTGGGTTTTTCAGATGTGTGAGTTTTTCAGATGTGTGAGTTTTTCAGATGTGTGAGTTTTCAGATGTGTGAGTTTTCAGATGTGTGAGTTTTTCAGATGTGTGAGTTTTTCAGATGTGTGAGTTTTCAGATGTGTGAGTTTTCAGATGTGTGAGTTTTCAGATGTGTGAGTTTTTCAGATGTGTGAGTTTTTCAGATGTGTGAGTTTTCAGATGTGTGAGTTTTCAGATGTGTGAGTTTTTCAGATGTGTGAGTTTTTCAGATGTGTGAGTTTTTCAGATGTGTGAGTTTTCAGATGTGTGAGTTTTCAGATGTGTGAGTTTTTCAGATGTGTGAGTTTTCAGATGTGTGAGTTTTTCAGATGTGTGAGTTTTGAGTCAACATTAGAGCCACGTTAGTACATTCATCACTCGCACTCTACAAAATCTTTTAGCGTAATAGTAATAATTATCATCACAATAATACTAATAATTGTAATTATGATATTAATAATCATAATTATAATAGAATAATTAGTCCTATAATTATTCTTGTTGAAGTCATTTCGATATAAACCAAATTTAAAATTGATTTCGGACTTGTATTCGAAGTTACATCAATTTGCTTCTGTTTTCCTTACAGATGGGAGACGAGGCCATTCCCTGTAACAACGTCAGCGAGCCGTGTTCAGATGTTCAAGGTTAGCTGTTCATGGTGAACATTGTCACTTAAAGGTGTTCCTCTCTACCCGGGGTGGTTGCTTCGGAGGTGAGAACTCCACCAGTAGTGAACAGGTGGTTGGAAATGCAGGTAAAGTGTTAAAGGTTCTCTTTATTGAGTGAAACAACAACTCAAATTTTAACTAGTAAAAGAGCTGAAAAGCGAGGTAAACTTTTTGGGACGTAGTGGAAAAAAAAGTAATAATTTTACTTTAATAAAACGGTAAAACGTTAAAGTTTTACTTTGACGTTTTAAAACGATTTAAACGTTAAAACTTAAAGTTAAAACGATTTCGACTCGTGAATCTAGCAGAAGCAAAAGCGTGTTTATCCCGTTAATAAGTGTGGTACAAGGAGTAAATGTTCTCTCATTTGGTGCAGCTGAGGTTAAACGTTTCATTCTCGGAAACATTTGTAAATCTAACAACAGATGAGCATAGTGGCCTGTGAGCGGTGATGATTCTCTTTGCCCGGAAAATGACGAGACGCGTTCTTAAGTGAACACAAATGAAGTTTAAATCCACCTTGAGACGTTATCCGTGGCGTCGCAAGAAACAACCGGTCACCCCTGACCCAGACCCTACCGAGAGCCCAGCAGGTCACCTGATAACATCACCGGCGCGAGGCTACGACCCTACGCAACCCCTCACCCGGAAAGTTGACCCCGCTGCCTACAACGAATTGGTGACCCCGAAGGACCCAGCTTTAGGATTGGGCACGCCTGATAAAAGCCAGATTCTGGTGACCCTGAAGGACTCTGATTTGGGGCTAAGAACTCCAGACAAAAACAAGGTCACGCTGACCCCAAGGGCCGCAACCCCGGGACTAGCCAGACCCGAGGACACTCACATTGTGTATACTGGTCGGCCCGTTGTCGTGTTGTGTCCCGCGAGCGATGAAGAAAGCGACGACGACGAGTTCGGAGAGGTACGACAGGTGCCCATCAACCTCTACTACGATGCCTTTGGGAATGCTATTGACGACGAAGCATGGGTTGGGGCAGGTGGGAGGAGGAGAAGCGGCGGTCCACCGCCCTCTGGGAGTGGGCCAGGGCCCTATTATCTCAGCTATGGTCTGAAACATGGCCCCGATTGTCCGGAGTGCCTGGGAGACCTCAAGGCCCGCTACTGGGTAGAACGAGAGTGCCTGAGAAATTACAATGAAAGGAAAGTGAGCGAGGACGCCACGGGCTGCTACTGGGTGGAGAAAGACATCTGGGGGCGGAGGGAGGCTGAGATCACGCTGGGAGAGGTGATGCACGAAGCCGAAAATGATGGTGAAGAGACGTTCATTGGGAGAGCAGATCGCGAGAGGCCGTTAGCCGTGGAGTGTGGCGGTGGGCGGAGCATGTGGCAGGGTGTGGGGTGGGATTTACCCCCACATCCCACCCACTACTGTCCTCTCGTCACACACGACAACACGTCCTACGGAGCTCCTCATCAGGATGTGTTGTGGATGTATACCGACTACCCCAGGGTGGAGTGGGCGGGTGTGGGCGGGATTGGGCGGCAAGCTGGGGTCGACTCAGGTGGTTCTTGCCAGTCTGTGGGTAGCGGTGTGACCGCGCGGACCTCCCCAGCACCTGCCCTGCTGCACACCTCTGCCACACCTGCCCTGCTGCACACATCTGCCACACCTGCTCAGCTGCACACCTCTGCCACACCTGCCCAGCTGCGTACACCTGCCCAGCTGCAGCACACCTCTGCCACACCTGCCCAGCTGCAGCACACCTCTGCCACACCTGCCCAGCTGCAGCACACCTCTGCCACACCTGCCCAGCTGCAGCACACCTCTGCCACACCTGCCCAGCTGTACACCTCTGCCACACCTGCCCAGCTGCACACCTCTGCCACACACAGGAAGAGACAACATCGCACCAGAAATGACAAGAAACGTCAGAAGCACGTCAAGAGCGCTCGAGGCATGAAACTGTGGAGCAGGCCAGGCGGAGGAGGTCCGTGTGACCGCCTCACGCAGAGCGAGCTGGCGCCCGCCTCGGACCACCTGTTTGAGGGAGGATGTGGCGAGGGCGACGGATCTCTTGCGCCACACCATCTCACCACGGCCGGGGGCGCCACACTCCCGGGCCACACCCACAGCCACACCCTCACCCATATTGACTACGATAGCCTGAGATCCGGATGGCAGCAACAGCTGGAGCGACAGCCTTATGGCTACTATAACGGGACAAGTGGGCAGATGGACGCGGTGCTATGCCCCAGCAGTGTCATGCTGTCATGCCCCAGCAGTGCCATGGTGCCATGCCCCAGCAGTGCTATGGTGCCATACCCCAACAGTGTCATGGTGCCATACCCCAGTAAGACCCAGGTGATATACTCCAGCAGTCCCATGGTGCCATACTCCCACACCGCCCTGCTTGACGAAACTTCCCTGCAGAAGCAGGCGCGGCGGGAGCGGAGGTCAGTAGGCGTGGATGGGAGGCGTGATGAGGGGGCGTGGCTTGGGGGTCCTGGTGAGGGGGCGTGGCCAGAGGGGCCGGCCGAGGGGGCGTGGCCTAGGGGGCCGGGTGGCCAGGCGAGCGGAACATGTGGAGCACTGGGCCAGGCGGGTTCTCAGCACTCAGTCTCAGCGCGCGCCTTGCCACGTGCACACGCGCGCTCACGCACCAGGCGCCCCGTCACAAGTGTACACAGTGAAATTAGTGCTAACGGTAACACTTACAGCAGTGATATTAATACAAATAAGACGAGTGCAGGCAAGAGTGAACTATGGCCGCCGTACGTGAACGGTGTTTGTGAGGGCGAGTGTACCTGTGTCATGCCCTGCAAAGTGTCGGGCATTCCTGTGTATCAGGGGCGAGGGGCGGACTCTCCCCGCAGCCCTCGGGAGGATGTGCCCGTCGCAGCCCCTGCTGGAGTGGCCGCTGGCAGAGGTCGGGGGTCCGGACGCCGAGCCGCAGGCAACAGGTCGTCGGCGACCCCTTCGAGTCGCTCCCCAGCACAGGTTGGTCGAAGGGGCAGCTTCGATACCCCAGTGTCGGCTCGAGGCGGCGCTGGTGTGGAGGGGGGAGTGGAAAACCACCCGCGGCGGGCTTCGCTGCCAGGCCCAGGGGGCGCCCTTCCTCACACGGCTGCTGGGGGGACCTCTGGAGTCTCCTCCTACCGAGCAAGAACCTCTCCCTCCCCTTCCAATCGTTCCCCTGCTCGCGGAATCTCGCCGGGGCTGGGGGCTCGAGCTCCTTCCCCAGCAGCCCCAAGGAAGACCCCCACTGCGGTGCGACGCCGGGAACCGCAAGTAGACCCCCGCACGCCACCCTCCACACCTCTGTCTCGTCGGCCACCCCCGCGAGCCGTGTACCAGGTGAGGTTGTCTCCTGGCGCCTCCTCCAGGGACTCACCACCCCTGCACAGAGAGAAGCCTAACTCCAAGCTTCCCGTCATGGCTTCAAAACCCAGCAAGACTGAAGCATGTCAGGGCTCGCCTCGGGTCTTCCCTCCACGACCGACCCCAGGAAGACCCGCACTTGGACACCGAACTGGGAAAGACCCAATTAAAGATCGAATAAACGATGACAGCAAAGGTGTGGGACAGACAGGTATCAAGGTAGACACTACACATAAGCCCGTTTCCCTGTCTATGTCCTCGGGCTTCCCCGGCTCTTCTGAGGCTGAAGAGAACAGCAGCACGGGTGGAGGAGACACTTCCCAGGACCTGAGCGGCGTGTCGGTCGCACCAGCCACCGATACTGCTACTGACCGACAAAACAAGACAACCGGAAGAGCCCCGACTGGCTCACGGTGTAGCTCTGCGTCCTATCTTTCCAGAACTCTTTCCCACCCAGAGAAGTCGCCAGGGTTGCTACGCCCAGGAGGCAACAGGCTGACATCGTCAGCGTCACGACTCGCTACCTCCCGGTGTAACACAGGTGATACTGCGAAAGTCAGCGACTCTAAACTGGAGCGGACGTTGAGTGTCAGCTCTTCACACCTCACGCCCAAGACGAGTCTCACTCGTACGTACTCTGGCCCCAAGAGCTCTTTAGCTTTTGGAGATGGTGCTAACCGGGCCAGGATCGTCAGAAGGGTCATGAGCGGTAGTCGAACCAACCTCAGCAAGAAGAAATCGAGCTCTAAGAATGCATTAGCTGTCGGTCGCCACAATCTATACAACCGAACCAAATGTGGTTCTAAGAATTCTTTGCTGGGCTCAAGGAACAATCTATTTAGAGCAAGTCTTGATTCCCAGAGAACGGAAAGTACTACAGATTCTGGCTGCAACTCCCCTCTTTACGGAAGTCAGTGTTCCCTGGATGGGGAGCGGAGGGGCAGCAGTTCATCCCCTTGTTCAAGCCTCGTCAGGAAGGTTGGATCAAATTCTTTAGCTTCAATGATATCAAAATCAAACGGTGATAAAATCAACAACGCAGATATAAAAACCACGGAAAACAAGGCAGAATGTCCACCACCACCACCACCACGCTCGCCCATAGAGACACCTGATCGCCCACTTCTCCCTAGAGCCGACCCTGATTCACACCCCGTAATCAGGGAACCTGACGTCATTACCAAGGATGTGATGAGAGTTTCAAAAATTGGACGGTCAGTCGTCGAGGTATGTGATACTATGGATCACAAGGTTAATATTGTCCACGCTCATTCTCTCAGTAGCAGTGAGTTACTGGACAGACGGAACAAGTCATCAGTGTTGGTGAAGCGGTCGCTTAGTCTACAATTTCCGAGTGGCTGTAAACCCTGCCCTCCTCCTAAACCATCTTTGTGCGACATTCGGGCCAGTAGCAGTTCACGAATCACCTGTGATGAAAGAATCGAGGACGAAGGTAAAGAGAATCGACCTCTACCTGGTATTAATGTCTCATTTCTGTCCATCTCGACCCGACAGCTTTCAAGATGTGACAGTGTGAAGAGTCTCACGGGAGCCAACAAGAGGGACGCAGAGACTAATAGAGACAAGAAAGAAGTTACCAAGGTCTCTATCGTGGCAGAACCTAAAACAATGGAGGAAAAGGGCATTCAAGTCGAGGCCTCGAGCAGTGAGGAGGAGACAGAAGGCGAATATGACGACGACGACGAAGAAGACGAAGAAGAAGGGAAGGAGGATGAGAGAAATGAGAGCAGGTGTGGGACAAGTAAACAAAACGGTCCAGGTGAGGAAATATCGTCAATTCAATCTCAGGCTGGGGATGACTACGCCAGAAGCCCCCCGGGAACACCCCAGCCCGGGCCCTTCGCGATGAGGGAGGGGAGGGACTGCCAGTCTACTCTGAAGAGGGTGAGTAAGAACACCATAGTTCACATCTCCAGGGGGCACAAGACGCAAACAACTCGCAAAATAGAATGTCTGAGCGAAATCGAGGATAACCGGAGCAACGAAAAGAAAGTGAGTTTGGGGGACGGGGAAAACCACTTAATTCAGCGTCTGGAGACCTCCTTAGCTGACATAATAGACTCCGCGGTGCTAAAAAACCTGAAAATGAACGGAAATATTCTGTCGGACCAGTTTGACGCTATCATTGCTACGCTAAAGAAAGTAGCGGCGTCAGTGGACTCTGGTGAACCAGACTTCTCGCCAATCATCCGCAGAAACTCGGAATGTGGGTTGAGGGCGGTGCCCAAGACGCTGTTGTCCCCCTCCACGCCCCTCACACGTTCCCCAAAACCCCTCACACCCACCTCCACGCCCCTCATACGTTCCCCAACACCCCTCACCCCCACCTCCACGCCCCTCATACGTTCCCCAACACCCCTCACACCCACCTCCACGCCCCTCATACGTTCCCCAACACCCCTCACACCCACTTCTATGTCATCCTCCTCTTCCTCGTCCATGAGTGCCGTGAGCCCCTCCACCCCTCGGACACCTCCAGCTAAAACACCACTGTCACTGTTTTCCATCAACGAGGGCTATCCTGGACAGGCGGGCACGGCCTCCGTCTTGCCTAGGGGCAGGAAGCTCTCCCTCTCGCGTGACTCCTTTCAAGACAACTCCCCCACCCTAGGGGACCTGGCTCGTAGGCTGCACGCTAACCCTAACCACCTCAGGGCCGACCAGGACTATGTGGATGTCGTAGACTTGGACCAACCTTACGTCAGCCCGGCGCCGAAAGGAGTGAGCACAAACGAACTAATTAGAGATGGAGCCTCAACAAAGGTTCACGGTAGGAAGAATAGCACAGGGTCTCTGGGTCTCTCCTCCTGTGCGTCTCTTCTAAGAGACAACTCTTACTACGCAGAAGGACCCACCACCACGGCTAGTGTCACCAATCTGAACTCCTCAGAAGATTACAAAAATACGTTTGCATCTCAGCAGCATTCGTTTAGGAAAGTTAACAGTACTTCCAACGTTAACGGTGCGGCTCCGAATGGGTCACATCGCTTGTTCCAGCGCCATCTGTCGCTTTGCGGTCCCGACGATGTCTATGGAGAGAATAGACTGCGCAAAAGCTTGTCTAAAAGTCGAGAGTTGCTGAGCCAATTAGAGAATGAATACAAGAAAATTAAGGGAGATGAGAATAAGAGTGCCCGCAATTCTCTTGTCATAGATCAAAGTTGGCTTGACAAAGACTTCGATGAACTTCTCCAGACACTGTCTAAAGACAAGACAATCCATTCGGATCCCCATGAGGCACTAGCCTTCCTAACGAACAACAATGTCAACACCACCGCTTCAACCGCCTTTACTAACAAGAATGACAAGTGGAGGACCTGCAAGAAAGACATACCACCTCTGCCGCTAGCTGACAGTCCGAGTGCGAGGCGCCACCAGAGTCAAGTAGGATCTGAGGGTCGCCATATCTTCTCGTTCTTCCAAAAGAAAGGTCGGAGTCAATCACTCTCCGGCACGGAAGCGATCAAGATAACTCTGCCCGCAACACCGGAGAACGGGCCCCAGGGAGCCCTGCACCGGGATACTACCGCCCCGGGGCCGCGGAGGGTCACTTACGAGAGCGCGACGTTAGATCGTCCTGGACGAACTAACCGAAGTAACAGCATCCCGTCGGCGTCGCCACAGGCCTTCGCCGGGACTGCGTTACCGCCCGAACTCGTTGGTATCTTCAAGAGTCGGAGCAAATCCCTGTCCAAACCCGTTGGTACAGAAAGCCAGGTGGAGAACCAGACGGAGGATCGGGTGAAGGACGCAGGAGAGGAGATGCGTGACGAGGACGAGGACGAACCAGCGAAACAGATGCGCTCTCTCTCCCTGCCCAAGTCCTTCCTCTCTGACAAATACGGACTGACCGGCTTCAAGGCTGCCCTCCCAAGGTAAGTGTCAATGGCTTACCTGGTTGTGTTTAACGATCGAACGTTTAACGATATATATTACAAAAAATCATAGGTACTCCTTTCTCTTTACTCGAAGGAATGTATGTTTACATCTGCTTGGGTTTCTCTATGATAGAATTTAGTTTGGGTCTCCATTGTAAACAATAATATTATTAATTTCATTGTTGGATTCTGGAGAGAAAGTGGCATGCGCGTGGATGAGGCATGACGCGACGGGGGTATACCAATCAGTATACCAATCAGTACACCAATCAGTATACCAGTCAGTCAAAAGTGGGTGTTATATTGTGTTCACTCGTCCGAGGAATGAGTGTGCATTGGTTAGTTCTGGCACCGAATTCATGTATGTGGAGAGTTATTTTAATAGTTATTTTGATACTCATTTTGATAATTCATATAATGGTGAGTTATTTAGCTGGAAAGTTATTTTGATCAAGAACTATTTTAATGGAGAGTTATTTATATTTATTATTTTTAAATTATTAATATTTATTTTATTTATTATTTCTAATAAGCTGAAATCATTCAAAATATAACTGTGAAGAAAAAAAACACGCTAGACTTGACATTACAAAAATAATATCAAATAGTGCGAAGATAAAGCAAGAGATAGGAAGATAACTCGTTATCTTCAAGCGTAAGTAAAGGCCTATCTCATTCGACGAAACTAGGCTTAAGACAAAGGTAATCTTTCCTTTTGATTTTTGTTCTGCCTTGAATGGCGCACTTAAGTAAATTAACTGATTAGACCCAAGGAGCCGGTCGGCCGAGCGGACAGCACGCGGGACTTGTGATCCTGTGGTCCTGGGTTCGATCCCAGGCGCCGGCGAGAAACAATGGGCCGAGTTTCTTTCACCCTATGCCCCTGTTACCTAGCAGTAAAATAGGTACCTGGGTGTTAGTCAGCTGTCACGGGCTGCTTCCTGGGGGTGGAGGCCTGGTCGAGGACCGGGCCGCGGGGACACTAAAGCCCCGAAATCATCTCAAGATAACCTCAAGAAGGCTGGGTTTTTGTATAGTTAAGGAAGAAGGGGGGGGGGGTCGTGGGTTTTATTTCTTGGGGCATCATAGCCATGTTAATAAACATAAATGAAGAAAACGGAGGAAAGGGAAGATTGAAGAAGACAAATTCTTGACACAGGGAAGACGCGATAAAGATGAGGGGTGATGCTGGGAATGAAAGAGCAGGAACAGAAACAACGAGAAATGGAATAATGAGAGAATACATAAGGAAATTAGCCATATACTGGATAGCAGAATGTTGTGTATGATACCAGAGGGATGACGGTCGGGTGATACCAGTCATCAACCAGTATGATGACATTGTGTATGATACCAGAGGGATGACTATGGGGTGATTTGTGATTGATACCAGAGGGATGATTGTGTGTTGTGTATGATACCAGAGGGATGACTGTGGGGTGATAGCAGTCATCAACTAGTATGATGACTGGTTGTGTATGATACCAGAGGGATGACTGTGGGGGTGATAGCAAACTGGTTGTGTATGATACCAGAGGGATGACTGTGGGGGTGATAGCAGACTGGTTGTGTATGATACCAGAGGGATGACTGTGGGGGTGATAGCAAACTGGTTGTGTATGATACCACAGGGATGACTGTGGGGTGATAGCAGACTGGTTGTGTATGATACCAGAGGGATGACTGTGGGGGTGATAGCAGACTGGTTGTGTATGATACCAGAGGGATGACTGTGGGGTGATAGCAGACTGGTTGTGTATGATACCAGAGGGATGACTGTGGGGGTGATAGCAGACTGGTTGTGTATGATACCACAGGGATGACTGTGGGGATGATAGCAGACTGGTTGTGTATGATACCACAGGGATGACTGTGGGGGTGATAGCAGAATGGTTGTGTATGATACCAGAGGGATGACTGTGGGGGTGATAGCAGACTGGTTGTGTATGATACCACAGGGATGACTGTGGGGGTGATAGCAGACTGGTTGTGTATGATACCAGAGGGAGAAAGTGGCTTACCTGCTGTCGTTGTGGTGCGAAGAGAAGGAAAGGGGGGGGGGAGTAAGGAGGAGGAGGAGGAGGAGGTCCATGGTCCTGCTGCCCCCTTCCCCCCCCCCCCCCCCTTCACCATTTCTCCTCTTCTCATCATTCTCAACTAACAGCTAACTCATCCTGCCGCCTTTCCCCCCCCCCTTCATTCCTAACTCCTTTTTTTTGTCTTCTATTCCTCTCTGTTTCGCCGTCCCATTCATATAGGTGACGGGCGGCCAGCCAGCCAGCCAGGTAGGTCCCTAAGAATGTGGCAGCCTCAGGCGAAGAGTAGTTCCCGTTACCTGTCACCCCCTGGGGAATGTCACCCCGGGGAGTGACATTCACCCCATTCACCTCTGGGGAGTGTATGAATTGGTGGTGGTGGTGGTGGGGGGGATGGCAGCTCTCCCCGGGGCAGGTCCTCGCCTCTCAGTCTTACTCTTTAGAGGTATTTTAGCACTCTTCTCCCCGTCTCTCAATACTTTAAATTATTCTCACATCTTTCACTACTTTAATTACTTCGCCACTTCTCTCACAATGTTAAATCCTCCTCCCCCCCCCCAGCGCCACCTCCGGGGCATATTATAGCAGTTCTATGTTAATTCATTCTCTCTCTCTCTCTCTCTCTCTCTCTCTCTCTCTCTCTCTCTCTCTCTCTCTCTCTCTCTCTCTCTCTCTCTCTCTCTCTCTCTCTCTCTCTCTCTCTCTCTCTCTCTCTCTCTCTCTCTCTCTCTCTCTCTCTCTCTCTCTCTCTCTCTCTCTCTCTCTCTCTCTCTCTCTCTCTCTCTCTCTCTCTCTCTCTCTCTCTCGGGTTAGGTTGGGTTGTGGTTTCTTGTCGTGTTATTGTTACACTTCGCTATGTAGTGGGGGGGGGGGGTTGTCACAGCCGCGCCTCACAGCATGTGGGCGTGTGAGAGGGGGGGGGGTGTCACAGCCACGCATCACAGCGTGTGGGCGTGTGAGGGGGGGGATGTCACAGCCACGCCTCACAGCGTGTGGGCGTGTGAGGGGGGGGGGGTCACAGCCACGCCTCACAGCGTGTGGGCGTGTGAGAGGGGGGGGGGTGTCACAGCCACGCCTCACAGCGTGTGGGCGTGTGAGGGGGGGGGGTCACAGCCACGCCTCACAGCGTGTGGGCGTGTGAGAGGGGGGGGGGTGTCACAGCCACGCCTCACAGCGTGTGGGCGTGTGAGGGGGGGGGTCACAGCCACGCCTCACAGCGTGTGGGCGTGTGAGGGGGGGGGGTCACAGCCGCGCCTCACAGCGTGTGGGCGTGTGAGGGGGGGGGGGTGTCACAGCCGCGCCTCACAGCGTGTGGGCTATCAAGGGCGGTCTTCAAGGATCATTTAAGCCATGTCTCCAGTGGGGTTTAAACTGATTGCTTTGATATCCCTCTGTCAATACACTCTCAATTGATGTTTGTCACTGTAAGATGGTGCACACATCAGGGCTTGTGTGTGTGTGTGTGTGTGTGTGTGTGTGTGTGTGTGTGTGTGTGTGTGTGTGTGTGTGTGTGTGTGTGTGTGTGTGTGTGTGTGTGTGTACTCACCTAGTTGTACTCACCTAGTTGTGTCTGCAGGATCGAGCATTGACTCTTGGATCCCGCCTTTCGAGCATCGGTTGTTTACAGCAATGACTCCTGTCCTATTTCCCTATCATACCTGGTTTTAAAATTATGAATAGTATTCGCTTCCACAACCTGTTCCTGAAGTGCATTCCATTTCCCCACTACTCTCACGCTAAAAGAAAACTTCCTAACATCTCTGTGACTCATCTGAGTTTCAAGCTTCCATCCATGTCCTCTCGTTCTGTTACTATTCCGTGTGAACATTTCGTCTATGTCCACTCTGTCAATTCCTCTGAGTATCTTATACGTTCCTATCATGTCCCCCCTCTCCCTTCTTCTTTCTAGTGTCGTAAGGCACAGTTCCCTCAGGCGCTCTTCATACCCCATCCCTCGTAGCTCTGGGACGAGTCTCGTTGCAAACCTCTGAACCTTTTCCAGTTTCATTATATGCTTCTTCAGATGGGGACTCCATGATGAGGCGGCATACTCTAAGACTGACCTTACGTAGGCAGTGTAAAGCGCCCTAAATGCCTCCTTACTTAGGTTTCTGAATGATGTTCTAACTTTTGCCAGTGTAGAGTACGCTGCTGTCGTTATCCTATTAATATGTGCCTCAGGAGATAGATTAGGTGTTACGTCCACCCCCAGGTCTCTTTCACGCGTCGTTACAGGTAGGCTGTTCCCCTTCATTGTGTACTGTCCCTTTGGTCTCCTATCTCCTAGTCCCATTTCCATAACTTTACATTTGCTCGTGTTGAATTCTAGTAGCCATTTCTCTGACCATCTCTGCAATCTGTTCAGGTCCTCTTGGAGGATCCTGCAATCCTCATCTGTCACAACTCTTCTCATCAACTTTGCATCATCCGCAAACATCGACATGTAGGACTCTACGCCTGTAAACATGTCGTTAACATATACAAGAAATAGAATTGGTCCCAGCACCGATCCTTGTGGTACTCCACTTGTTACTGTTCGCCAGTCCGACTTCTCGCCCCTTACCGTAACTCTTTGGCTCCTTCCTGTTAGGTAGTTCCTTATCCATTCTAGGACCTTTCCCCCCACCCCCGCCTGCCTCTCGAGCTTGAACAGCAGTCTCATGTGCGGTACTGTATCAAAGGCTTTTTGGCAGTCCAGAAATATGCAGTCTGCCCAACCATCTCTGTCCTGTCTTATCCTCGTTATTTTATAATAGAATTCCAGAAGGTTTGTTAGGCACGATTTCCCTGTCCAGAACCCATGTTGATGTTTGTTCACAAACCTAATGTTCTCCAGGTGTGCAACCAGTCGCAGCCTAATTATTCTTTCCAGTATTTTACAGGGGATGCTTGTCAGTGATACAGGTCTGTAGTTAAGTGCCTCCTCCCTATCTCCTTTCTTGAAGATCGGCACGACATTTG